ATATACATTTGAATAACTAAAAAATCATAAAATTACCATATTGATACCATAGAATTCTACTATAATATATACTCTAAAAAATATGGAATTTTGAGCAGACTAAAGACACACCCTACCTTGTTGAAATATTGGTTCAAAAGAAAAACGGTGCCAAGCCTATTAAAATGGCCGAGTAAGCCACTAAGGTTACATTCTGAGCTTCTGATTTGTTAATCGTGTCATACATAGAAGTAAGTGTTTCCAAAACTGGAAAAAGATGGGTGGGGTGCCACTGTGTTTGATTTATTACGTGAGCAATAACTAAGGAAATTGAAAAGATAAGAGGCTCTTATTTTATTTTCTAGCTTGTCAATATCGGTAATTTGAGTTTCTAATTCATACAAAACTATAGACTTAGTATTTTGACTTTACAAACATTTAATTTGAACCAATGCTGCATTCGGCATACCACGTGACACACAAAAATCGATGTTTATCTGTGTTTTTTAATATTTGCTTTTAAATCAAGAAAGTGAGTAATATATAATTCCAAAACTTGAATTATAATCTACAGCTTGATACCAAAGTTATTGACATAAATTCATGAAATAGTAGTTCAATAACATTTTGAATGCGAGTCAACAAATGAGATGACATGGCCTTTCACCCATGACAATCTTGAAAGGGTTAACCAGCTAATTGTACTTTCCTAGCTCTTGACCTTATTTTGTAACACAGGCATCTTTTTACTTACTCCCTTGCTTCATGTATATGTTCACTTAAAAACTCAGAAAATCATTATAACTTCTTTCTTAAACTTTTTAAAATGCTAAAATACTGATGCAATTGTAAAATTCCTTAAAAATATCCAATTGCTTCACAACCAATCAGTCTTTCTTCTTCTCTTTTCTGCTTACACTATTCTCTCTCTCATTTTTGTTGTTGTTTAACAAACTCTCGTAGTTCACCATCTTTAAGCTCAAGTCACTCACCTCTCTCTCTTCTTTTATCAAAGGCAGACAACATGGTTATATAGTGTGGTTGTGACCTCTTCAATATTTTAGCCACTACTACAGCTGTGCATATATATAGGCCTATTTCCATTGTCCATCTTATTTTACCACTGCTTACCTCTGTATAATCCTGGTGGGCTCACCAAATTTCAGGTTTTTAAAACAAGTGGATTACGTGCTGTCCATTTATTGTTGAAATTTATTGCCAACAATTCACAGACACCTACTACTGTAAAGAATCCCCGCCTCTATAATACCTGACAAATGTAGATTGTCAACCTTTTGACTGATAGGTAGAATGCAAGTGGGGTAAATCTGGATTGTGTTGTTTCTTCCATCTTCTTAACCTATCATATTTCCAATTGGCCAAATGTCAGAATATTCACCAACAACTAATAAGTTTAGGTTTAGTCAGGTGTCAGTAAAATCTAGTTTGATTGGCTTTCCTTTGTCACAGTATCCTGCTTTTGACATTTTTACAATTATAGAAGATGGTTGAATTGTTTCAATGGCAGTAAGAAGACATGCATTCAAGGTGACAAGTTTTGAAAAATTATAGTTAAAATTATTGAAAGAAATGAGTCTGGTAAAAAAAAACTGACAAAGCTGTAAAAAAAAAGAATTTTCAAAGGGCCTGGTTAGAAAGAACCATGTAAGTTTCATTATTTATTGGAAACTGGAAACATGTATGTACTTTATTCCCCTTTTAAATCTATTAATGTTTTTCTAATTTGTTGAAAATGTATTGATTTGCCCTGGGCCTGACTGGGTGCCTGTGGCCCTATGACCTCTAGCTTTTTCAACTGTTTTTTCTCTCTTTCCCATTTTCATGCCTAGAAGTTACAAAACTTAAAATAGTTTATTTTCATTTGTATACTAGTCAAGTAAACAAAGCAAGAAAGTTCGGTTGTATGAACTAAAACTGTGCAATACTGTTTAGTCAGCTTTATGGAAACTGTTGTTATTGAGCTTATTTGTTCCAGTTAAATAAATTATTTATCAGCAAAGATTGTACTGTTTACGAAAGTGATAGACTTCCCCTGGTGGGTCAGTAGTAAGTTTATGGAAATTCTAGCATTCAATGCACCAGGGTGGATAGAGTACACATAGCTCTTTATTTAGATTTGCATTAAGAAGAATATTAAAAGTGATGGACATTATTTGTCTTTTTCTAGGTTATTCAAAGTTCACAGGTATGAAAGACAGAATTCATCAATATTTGATTTCAATTGCTCAAAGCTTCTAGTTAGTGAAAATTTCACCATTTAATGTCTTTTACATTTGTACCTGGAATAGGCATGGATATTTATTTGCCTAACGTAAGTACAAGAAACATTAGGTGTGACTATTGCAGTAACCTTCCAGTAAAGGCAATGTGCAGTTTAACAGAATTACTTGTTGCTGTATGTACCAAGAAAGTAGACATGCATTGCACTGATTTTTTTATAGATATACTAAAATTTTATTAGAATTTTCAATACATGAAATATACCATTGTTTAAAAATTTATCAACCTGGACAACTATAATAGAAACAAAAAGTACGGTATGTCATATTATATATAGAAGAATCTTGGGTTTATGACATGCTTCACAAAAAGCAGTTGGAAGGTCAATTACAAGAATAAAAATGTGTTATCTTTAAGCCTTAGTTTACAGAAAATGTGTAATTGTGATACATCATTTACAAGACTGAAATGATAAATAGGAATTTATACCCTACATTTTATTCATTTGATTTCATTTTTGCTTCCTGATATTCATAATTAAGTGGCAGTTTATAAACTGTTTTGATGCAAAAACAAAATTATTATATCAAACTCTGTGTTAGTTAACAAAAGTAACTTTTTGTACATAACAACTATTCTATACTATAAGATTAATGTTTATTATTATTTTACCCAATGCAAATTTACCCATACCGTGCACAATATTTATTTCCTTGGTTTCATAGGAGCTAGTGTGTGTGTGTGTCATTTGCCATGGAGATATACTATACATAGGCATATGTTTGTCTAGAAATTAACTCCTAATGGCCAGTTTCTTCAAATTAATTTAACTATTTTCAATATATTATCTAACTTATACTTCAAGTGTTTTGAAAATCTGGGTCTCACCCACAAACATGGTGGTGAGAGTTTGTAAAGTAGGCACTAAGACGGTATCAAGGGGAAATCTGAAGTTGCTGTGAAACTCATAAAAATGGGAAAATAAATAAAGTAAGGGATCCTTCATGGATAAACCCAAGAACCCTTAAAAGTTTCATTATGATCAGAGGTTGCAAAGATGGAAAATATTTGACACAGACCCAAGTCACTTCAATTTAGATATAACATGGTGATAAAGTAAGATTTTTTTCCTTGTAAAAGTTGCATATCTGTTCTGGGTTTTTATAGGAAAGCCATCGACAGAGAAGTGTATTATCTATAGAAAACGTTCAACTGGAGGAGAATTCTCAACAGATTAATGCAGACAACAAAGCTTTGAAAGAAGAGTACAAACAAGTTTTGAAACAATGTCACACATTAGAGATGCAGTTAGAAAAGACTCATCTGGAGAAGAATGATAACAGAAAGTTAATGAACAAATTGTTATTTTTGGTTAGTTTGGAATTTTCAGTCAATTAATGATTTCAAAATATAACTTAATTTATATTAGGTCATCAAGAAATTGATGTCCCTTTTTTTTTAGATGAAAAATCCTGAACAACTTGTATATCAAAACAAAACATTTAGTAAATGAAATAGTCCTCATTCTT